CCATCCTCTACTGCTTTCCCAGGCCACAAGCAGGGAGCTGGATGGGGAGTGGAGCAGCTGGGACACAAACTGGTGCTCAAATAGATGCTGGCACCATAGGCAGAGGATTAGCCTACTATACCCTTGCGCTGGCTCCCAAGGAATTAATATTTGATAAGCAAGTGACAGGATTTGGAGACTGGATTTTGGGGATGGCTTTCCACAGGTCCATGATCAGCTCTTCTGATCCTCCCAGTGAGGAGGAAGTGCTGTGTGTGTCAGTCACCTGATGTGAGAGAGGAGAAAAGTTGTAGCAATTTGCCTGAAGTTTCACAGCCAGCAAATTATAGAGCTGGACTTCCAGCTGGAGCCTCTTCCGAACTCCATGGAGGGTCACTGACCCGCTAACTTGTTCAGTTTTGTCCTTACACCCAGCTATTGTCAAGGTTTGTTGATTGACTTATTTGTTTATTTGAAAGGCAGAGTGACAGAGAAAGGTCTTCCATCTGCTGATATACTCCCCTAATGGCTGCAATGGCTGAGGCTGCTCCCGACTGAAGCCAAGAGCCCAGAACTTCACCATGACCTGCCATGTGCATGCAGGGGCCCAAGCACATCTTCTCCTCCTTTCCCAGGCACCTTAGCCGGGACCTGGGTCAGCACAGCCGGAACTTGACCGGGCACTCCAATATGGGATGCAAACATCACCAGTAAGAGTTTAACCCACTGTGCTAACGCGCTAAGTCCACATAGCCGTCTTGGAAGGGGGGTGTTCTGGGTATTCCCTGTGACAGACCACACAACCGTGAAGTGGAGGGGAGCGGGGACCAGCACTTGAGCTCTGCTCAATCTGACATGCAGATTAACTGTTCTTGAAAGCACCCAAAGGGGCTTCAGAAAATTTACGGAACCTGGAAGTCAAAGATATGTGGATTTGCATGAATTCTTCAAAGCCCTGTCCCAGCAGTTACCCTGTAACCTCTTGTGGAGAGCACTGAAGACCTCGTCTGCCCCACAGCCTAGTTTCCCCATCAGAAAAGAGGTCCCTGCTCCCTGCGCCTTGCAATCTCCCAGACGAAGAGCTGAGAATCAACGACACACCCTGGAGGTGAGTTGACTTACTAAGTCCCACCCATTTTCACAGGTAGGTAAACTGAGGTCAGAGCCTGCCCAAAGAGACAGGGACACAGGGCTTTGAAATTAAACCTCAGGATGCACAGACAATGAAACTCTCACCCTACACTACTTCCTTCCTGTGACCCCAGTTCTCCATTTGCAATGTGTGTGAAGATGTGACTATTTCAGTCCAGGGATATCAAGTCTAGTTCTGCATTACATGGCCCCATCGTCAGAAGCCCTCAGTAGAATTTCTGTTCTGTGGAAAGTACTGAGTAACTGTGTAAAATCACCCATCATGTCGCAGCCTGCCGTATTCACAAAGCTTTCTTCTATCAATTTCTCATCCTCAAACAAGCAGATGCCACAGTCAGCAACTTGGACATCTTGCATTCAGTGTGTCAGCAGGGGACTTGATGGGGACCGCGGCATGCCTGCCTGCCCGAGGCTCACAGCCCAAGTGTCCTTGACATTGCAAAGGAAGGTGCGATCTGGACCATCCCCGGTGTAGATAGATCATGACCTCAGTGGGAGCTGAGCCCAGGCTCTGTCATCTCCACTCCCCCCAGAGCGCTCACAGAAGCCAGCACAGGTTTTAAGCAGGCACTCGCTAAGGGGCTCAGTTAATTACCACCAAAGTGATGGAGAGGGGAGGTGTGCGTTGGGCTCGGCTGGATGCAGGCCCTAAGAGTTCAGGTGTGGGCATTGGGTTCAGAAGGGGATCCTGGGAAGCACCAGGAAGTACAGAGAAGGGAAGTGAGGCAGAGATGGGAAGGTGCCAACAGAGGCCTTTCCATGCCAAAGAGGTCGTGGGAGATATGGGAAAAAAACAGTTGATTTTTTCTGTGTGTGTGTGTTTAAAAAAAATGTTTGAATTCCAGGAAGATGACCAAATTTTGGAAAACACATTTGCAATACATGAACTAAACATTGTTTTTTATATCCAAACAAACTTAACCTACTTATTTGGGAATCAATATTTATTTGAGAGGAGGAGAGACAGGTAGGTTCTGCTACCTACTGGTTCACTACCCAAATGCCCACAACAGCCAAGGCAGAGCCAGGGGCCGGGAACTCCAGCCAGGTCTTCCCCTGGGTGACAGGCACCACCACCTGCTGCCTTGCACAGTGGCCACAAGCAGGGAGCCAGAAGCAGAGTTGAGTTTTGATCCCGGACACCCCTAGCTGCACCTGCAGCACACCCCGTCACACACACACTTTGGTCCATTTTGCTGAATACCTCTCTGCTCGTTCTTGTGGGTACAACAACCTGGGAAGACAAACGGCCTCCTCAGCTCCTGCCACAGGTAAGGAAACCGAGGCACAGCAAGCCCAAGTAATCTGCCCAAAAGTCATCATTGGTGATGTGTGTTGGGGGGGGGGGAGGTTGATCAGGGGATCCTGAAAAGGACCCAGGTGGCATAGATCCAGGCTCAGCTGCGTCACACCGGCTCCCTTGACGGCAGGCAACCCTATCTCCCTTAACCACTTGCAAACACTGCCTCCCATTGACCCTGGGAAAGCTGCCTGCCAGCCCTGACCCTCGTCCGTCCATAGCTAAGGGTACCCTTACTTCTCCAAGTGAGAGATAACATGCAGAAAGCCACCTCATCTTTAGGGCTTTGCACAGAGTCACCTGGGCATCCGTGGCCACCAGAGGCTGCCCTGACCTGGGGGAAGGGAGGATGCGCCAGCTGAACCTGCCCCTGACCTTCCCCGGATTCCTGGTCCTAGGCATCAGCTAGGAAGGCGCCTGGTTCAGCGCTATGACAGAGGCACCGTGGAAGTGGTCAGCGCCTGCACCAGGAGCCATGACAGGGACAGGTGGCTGCAGAAAGATGGGCTTTGGAAGCAGCTCTAAGTCCCGATTCTGCCACTTACAAACTCTTTGAGGCTGGGTTTCTCTTTGCAGGACCGAATCACCCATCAATGGAATGCTTGGGAGACACAGAGATTGTAGCTCAGCAGCACCCGCTCGTGGCGACTTATTACTGTCACTGCAAAAACAGCAGTTTTTCCTTTTCCAGGCTAATTCCCAGCAGCGGGTGGGGTTCAGCAAGCACTCTAGTCAGTGCTCAGAGTTCCAGTGCCACTTCTTTTGAAAGATGTGTTTATTTATTTGGAAGTCAGAGTTACAGAATTAGAGCGAGAGATCTTCCACCTGCTGGTTTACTCGCCAGAGGGCTGCAGTGGCCAGCGCTGGACCAGGCAGAAGCCAGCAGCCTCATGCAGTTCTCCCAGTGCAGGTGTAGGAATCCCAGGTACTTGGGGATTTTCTGGTGTTTTGCCCCAGATGCATTAGCAAGGAACTGGATTGAAAGTGGAACAGCTGGGACTAGAACCAGTGTCCGTATGAGATGCTGGCATCACAAAAGAGGCGTTACATGCTATGCCGTGACGCTGGCTCCAGATCTGCCACTTATTATCTATGTGGCCCTTGGAATAAGATCTACCTCGCTGAACCTCAGTTTGCTCATCTGTGAAATGGACTCCCTCCCACAGACATTCTCAGGATACAGCATAAAAAGTCTTAGGCCTGAGGCCCAAGAAGCACTGATATACAAATTGCAATAAAGTTGCTTCTTGTTGGGAAGAGAGAGACTGGGGAGCCTCACCTCACCCCTGCCTTTATCTGCAACGTTGTTGGGGGTCTCTGCCCATCCCTGCTTCTCCAAGAAGGCATGGAAGCAGGTAGCTAAGGTGACTTCCCAGCTGCGTGGTGAATGTGTTTAAACAAACACACTGACGCAACCAAACAATGCCACCCTCTCTCCAACGCTTTCCAGAGCCCCTGGGCTATCCATGTGCCAGCTGCGCCTGCTGCTGTGGAAGCCGTAGGCAGCTGAGATGGGCCTGGCCGGGCTGGAGTTCCAGAGACACAGAATCAAAGGGGAAGGGATGGGAGCAAGATCTGGAAATTCACTCAGGTGAGACACCCCCTCCTTGTCTCCTGGGGCAGAAGAGATTCACTTCTCTGCCTGGCCTGGTGTCCCCCACGCAGCTCCCTGGTGACTGACATTGTCTGCATGAAGCCATGGAGGACCCAGACAGTGGTCGGGGGTGGAAGCTGGGATGGGAACTACATAAGACCCTGGTGGGAACAAGAGAGGTCTCGGTGGGCTTTCTTGGGGCTCCCAGCAGTCCCCATGGGTCCCCATAGATGGGCCGGAGAGGGCCCATCCAACCACTCAAACAGACTGGCTCCCACCACTCAAGCACTCCACAGCCCACACCTCCCTCTGGGGCCCTGCCCCCTGTCCAAGTCATTTTCCTGTGCTCCCAGACTCCGTTCCAGACCAGCTGGCCTCAAAGCTGCTCCTCCTTCACCCCAGCACACTCCCGCCTGAGATCCTGGTCCTGCTACCCATCTGTCTGGAATATTCTCAAGCTTCTTTCCTATCTAGCTCAGACTTCTCCTCAGAGCAGAACTCCCTGGCCCCAGCCCCATCACCCACCTCCATCCTCCTCCCCAATGAATGGATGGATAAATGGATGGACGGATGGATGGATGGATAAGTGGGTGGATGGATGAGTGGATGAATAAATGAGGGACAGGTGGAGGGATGGGTGGATTTAGCGACAGATGTTCCAGCAGAGGCACAGCTGCAAACTCCTAGTTAAGACACGTGAGTCCACTAGGAAGATGAGGAGCTGAGCCCTAGTCCAGCCGTGGGCCCTTTCTTGGAAGCCTCCGACTCCTGCCTCCTCTAGTCCACCCCGCGCCCCAGTCCTCCCCTCAGTCCTGGACATAAAGTGACACAGATCTCCACAGCAGGTGGGGGACTGGCCCCCAGGCTTTATTGAGCGGATTCCGTTGCAGGGCGCCCAGGTTGGCCCTCAGCCCAGCCCGGGAACCTCCTCTTCTTGCCCTGGCTGCCCAACCCCCGCTCTTTTCCAGGGCAGGCGAGGGTCTCAGGGGACCCAGGGACCCTTCAGCTGCTGAGGAAGCAGCCCCGCTTATGCCACTTCTGGTCACGAATGCGGCGCACGGACTGCAGCTGCGGCTGGTTGGCGTCCCATTCATTCCAGTGGCGGTACTCGCCCCGTTCCAGCACGTACTGGCGCCCGCGGTAGCCGGGAAACTCATAGCCGACCCACCTGCCAGGGAAAGCAGGTGGTGTAAGGATGGAGCCTGCAGGCGGGCTGAGCTTCCTGGACCAGCGTCTGACTGGGCCCTCCCCTGCCTGGGGTTCCTCCATGGCTCCCCAACACCCCTTGGCTGCAACCCGGCCTCTCTCTGCTCCACCTGCGCTATGGCCCCTTCTGACGGTGAGCCTGCCACGTCCTTGGGCTTTGGCACAGCTGGCCTCTCCACCCGGATAACCTGTCCCCACTTCACCCTTATCCCTGCCCCTCTTTCCATCTCCACTGAAGCTGGTTCCCAACTTCAGCTTCCTGCTAATGTGGATGCAGGGAGGCAGTGCTGAGGACTAAGGGACTGGCCTCCTGTCACTCACATGGGAGGACCCGGAGGCAGCTCCTGGCCCCCAACTTTAGCCCATCAACAGTCACTGTGGGCATTCAATAGACAGGAGAGTGTTGATGAGATCCCTATGGGGTCTATCTGTCTGCAGCTCAAGAAGGAAGGGAGGGAGAGAGGGAAGGGTGGACGTATATAGATGAATGGGAGGATGGGTGGCTGGGTGGGTGGATGAGAGGGAGGGGGAAGGAGAAGCGAGTTCAGACTTAAAACCAGAAGTGTGGCCACTTGGAGCAGAGGCCAGGACAAGGCCAAGCATGGGTTCCTTACGTCCCGTTGATGGCCCGGATGCTGGCCACACGGTCCTGGAAGCCGTGAGCCCACAGGCTGGGCACATCATCATCCACTATTTCCATCTTGCGTCCGCTGAAAGCTGGGTTCTCAAACAGGTGCAGCTTATGCTCCGGGCCATCCTGGGGGTGAGAAGGCAGAGTGGGCCGGTAGCTGCCACACCAAGAACCGGCGGGCTCAGGGGTGGGAAAGAAGCAACAAGTGACGACCCACCCCCAAAAAAGTGGCACCCAGCCTTGAAGACCCTGAAGGAGGGACAGGGAAATTGGGAGAGTGGGTCAATGTGAGGGGTGCTTCCTGTTGTCATTGGCTTCCATCGTTAAACAGGGGAGGCCAGTGGGATGGAAGTGCAAACATTTCCTGTTCATTGAGTCAATGTTGAGTCAGAGGCCCCAGTCTGCCCTTCCCACTGTCCCCTCCAAGGACTCCATCACGTGACAGGGACAGAGGACTGGGACAGCCACCACGTTGACTCAAGCAGGGAGAGCAGGCCGCATTTTTTACAAAGAGCAGTGAGGGATCCTGGAGAAGGCAAGTGAAGGAAGCCCCAAAGGACTACTGGGAGGTCACCATCTGAGGCCAGCTGGGGGATGCACGCCAACCCTGGGCCACGTGGCTGCTGGTGTTCAGGGGGACAAACGGGAGTCACCTGGCCAGGTTGTCCAATTTGAGAGTGGACGCTGACACCCCAGTACCCTGCCACACCCCCTGCTCCTGGTGTCACCCTACTCCAAGGTATCAGAAAGGGGCAAAGCCCCGGGAGAAGGGAGGGCAGGGCAGCCAACAGCCCTGCTCCACTGACTGCTGCCTGCAAGGGCCCCACGGCGGGAAAGATGCTCACAATGTTTAGTGGCCGGAGGGACAGCAGGCTGTCGCTGTGGCGGCTGCTGGACCAAGCATCCCAGCGCGGGTAGTCACCTTTCTCCAGGACAAACTGTTCCCCACGGAAGGCTCTGCGCTCAAACGCCAGCCACCTGCAGGGGCCAGAGGAAGGGATCGAGGCGGGGGGCAGGGGGGGGCGGGGGCAGGCATGGCAGGCCCAGAGCTGCTGCTGCTCTGTGCTGTACCTCCCTCCACACCACCCCCAACTTCTCCGGGACCTGCTGCAAACGGGGCTGCTGGGGACCGTGTCCCCCAAGAACCGTGACAGCAAGTCTCCCCTAGGTCCCGTTTTTGGGGATGGCACCTTACAGGCCCTGCCTCGGCCACTTCCCTCTTGCCTCATGAGTCTGTGCACTGTCAGCAAACTCAGACACGTGTACCACCGCTGTACCCAACTGACAGATGATACAACTGAGGCCCAGAGAGTAAAGGGAGCTGTGTACCATCCCCCAGATGGTGCAGGTGGACAGGGCACTGGAGCTCTTGGCCCTCGGCTGCTGCCTCTCGCAGTAAGTGGTGGTGGTGAGAACTCAGTGTTCACATGTCACATGAAAGAAGGGCACACACTCGCTTGGCAGTCACAGGGCTGCCATTCCGTGTCCCAGTCCTCACTTCCACCTGACAGATGGACAAACTGAGACCAAACAGGAAAAGGGGACCACCTTATATCTCACAGCAGACCTAGAGTTAGCTGCACCCTGGACCTCCGAACACACCCCCTTCGTTTCCCCACCCCGAGAAGGGACCCAGGTACTCACGGCCCAGACTCCACTTGGATGGAGCCCACCTTTTCCAACAGGCTTTCCGTCAGGTTGGGGCATTCGGCCGTGAGCTCGCATCGCTTACCCTGGAAGTTCTCTAGCTCATACACGATCACCTGCAAAGAGCAGCGTCCGGAAGGTCCGGCTCTGGCTGGACTGCCAGCTGCCCAGTTCCAACCTGCTTGCTCCAGCCGCCTCTACTTGCAGGAGCCAGAGCGGTCCTTGGTCCTTGGCAGGCCTGCACTGCCAGCTGGTGGCCACAGAAAGGAACTACGCCTCTGGGAACTTTCCACTAAACTACGGCTGGTGGAAGGAATCTTCTCCCAGAGGAACATCCAAGGACAGAGGACGGGGACACCCAGTTGCTTCTGGACAAGAGGAAACGAGGACCCCGTTCTGTGCTTTTCTGTGTTTCCCTTGCTGAGATATTTCCTTCTTTGTAAAACCCGATGCGCAATGAAGGGCACCCCCTAGCGGCGACCTCTGCACAGTCGGAGCGAGCTGGGAGCCACACACAGCTCTCCACCAGCCCCGCTGCCCCTGTGCTCTGCCGAGACCAGCAGGATGTGGGTGACCAGGGCCCCCCGCCCACCCAGTACCTTGTAGCTGCCCCCAAGTCCACCATGGCTCTTGCCCGCAGCCGCCTGCTCCGGCACACCATGCTGCTCTGCCATTGTCCCCTGGTGCACCTCTGCTCCAAACCAAAGAGAATGCGGTCAGCAGGCCCACGCAGGTGCCCGCCCACGTGCCTGGAAGTCCAGGGCAAGCCAGAGAACCTGCCTCCAGGGGGGAGAGGGGGTCTCTCTGCAGGAGCCTGTGCCCCCTGCACCCTGGCTCACCAGCGATTCCATGAGGGTCTGTTCAGAGCCAGGCTGTCGGCCCAATGACCAGCCCAGATGGAGGTGCGAGTTGGATAGCCTGTCAACCAGAGGGAGCAGGCACGAGATTGGGGCCTCAGCCCCCTGCCCCCAGCCAGTTCCCCCGCTGTTAGCTGTTTATTCTACTAAGCACACCAATGCACAGGGCATGCAGGGACCAACTTCCTGGCTTCCTTCTCCTCACTACCTGAGGGCTGCACGCATAGACCCCTGCGGGGGCTACATGGTAGAGGTCTTCGTTCTTTTATACACAGACACACAGCGAACTGCTCCCTTGCTTATCTGCACACACATGCATACATGTACAATGCAATTTACACATATACACACATCACACATATGAACATACTTACAAGGCTTTCCTGGTCAGGCACATGGGATGGCTCCTTCTCTCTCTCTCCCTCCCTCCCATGCACACACCCTTGCCTATTTCGGGTACCCACAGCCATACCCCACATGTGCCTGTCCCCCTCCATGGCTCCCAGCATGCCCCCCAACCCTTGCTGGCAAGCACAGCTGCATGGTCTTGGACTTGACCCCAGCCAAGTGACACACAGCCTGCGGCCTATATGCCCTGTTCTGTGTCCAGCCTCAGCGTGAAGCAGAACCTGGCCCAGCTCACAGGGGCCTCTCATGGTGCCACATTCACCTAAGAGCTGCTCAGTGGTCCACAAGCCCAAGCCCAGGGGCCAGGCCCCAGCCAGCACCCCAACACACAGAGACTGCAGGTCCCCAGCCCCTCCCTCTGCCAGGCTTGGTGCAGTCTGCGTCCTCTTGCCTGTCCCCCAACCCTCGGGTGACCCATAGTTTGGGCAGGAGGCCAACTCAGCCTGTTCCCATGGAGACAGCTAAAGACCTGGTGTGTCTGCCAGGTCAGCTCTGGCCTCCCCAGCCCCGGGCCCCGTCCCAGCATGAACCTGTCGTTGCTGCCGCCTCCTCAGGAAAAACACAGGAGCCAGGACGGTGCACAGACCCGGCTGCCTCCGGGCAGAGCGGCCTTTATACGGGTGCTTTCTGACAGCCCAGCACATCCCAGCCTGCTGAGACAGCGTCCTGTCCGCCCAATTCTGTGCGGGCCATTTCATCCCAATGGTGCATCCACAGAGGCCCCCTGCATCGTAGCTGTAACCATGGCCCCGTCTGACTTCCTGGGGGTAGGGGGCCTCACAGACTCTCTGGGGAGTTCAGCAGGGCTGGGCAAGGGTGCCTCAGGGTACAAAGCCCCCCCAAAACACACATCACCCCCCCAAACTCTCCCCACATTGTTAATCCACATTCCTGGATCTGTTTGGTGTCACTGATTTCCTATTGGGGCAGATGGCACATGAGGAACAAGAGACCTCAGTCTCTCCACATGGTCCAACTTCTGAACATCCCCTCCAAATTTACATAAACCCACACACTGATGGAATCCTACAACAAATTCCCTAAAGGTGTATTATGTGACACGGGCAACAGCCACCACTTAGTGCAGGCACTATACTAGCCTCGTGTGTCATTCTACATAGACATGTTTTTTTGTGTGTTTTTAAGATTTATTTATTTTTATTGGAAAGGCGGATATACAGAGAGGAGGAGAGATAGAAAGATCTTCCGTCCGATGGTTCACTCCCCAAGCGGCTGCAATGGCTGCAGTTGAGCCAATCCGAAGCCAGGAACCAGGAGCTCTTTTGGGTCTCCCATGCAGGTGCAGGGTCCCAAGGCTTTGAGCCATCCTCGACTGCTTTTCCAGGCCACAAGCAGGGAGCTGGATGGGAAGCGGGGTGGCTGGGATTAGAACCGGCGCCCATATGGGACCCCGGCTCGTGCAAGGCGAGGACTTTAACCACTACACTACCACACGGGGTCCTGTTTGTTTTAAAGACGTATTGATAGAGCAGCCAGGACTTGAACTGGTGCCCATATGGGATGTTGGTACCGCAGGTGGAGGCAGTGTTCTTGCTATGCCACAACACCAGCTCCAGGATTTATTTATTTGAGACATGCCAACAGGCTCTTGGCCACAACAGAAAGGGGATCACGACCGTCACCTTACTTATGCTCTGTCTCACAAGGTACAGTGTGGCCTATGACAGGTGTATTACATTGTTACCACTATTATTATGGATGGCTATCAAATGAATAGAACATGACAGGGCAGGGAAGCCTACGGTTCCATGGGCTTGGTGATGGTCGCAGATTGAGTACCTAAAACTGCAGAAGCCCAAACCTGACCCTATGTAAGAGTACAAGATGTCTGCTTTCACCTTATTCTCCCAGGAGTTACCCAAATCCATCCCCTTCTTGGGACGCAGTTATTTCCGGCTAGGAATACAAGAGGGAAGGTGGGGTGCGGACAGCGTGGTGTCCTCCCCCTCGGATGCTTTAGGACCTACTGTGCGCTTAGCTTAGCACTTTCATGTGCTACCTAGGACTCCCCGCCATTGCAGCCTTTGGGGAGGGATCACTGTTTGTGCTGGATGTGGGAGGGCCTGCTCCGTGCACCTGTCGGGGAAGGGGACAGGGCATCCTCCTGAGCTGCCACTCACTAAATGCACAAAGCAGCTTCCCCCCTCGCCGTGGCCGCCACACAGCTGCTGTCACGGGCAGCTGTCCTCTGAGGTCTCAACAGCTGCCTTGAGACTCCGGCCACTGCTGTCCCTCCCCACTCACTCCCTCACTGGTTTCACCCCTATGGAGAATGAACACTTACAGTCCCATGGCCAGGAGGTGGCAGCACAGCGAGTCAGCCACTCCGTTTTGCTTGGATTTTTTTTTTTTTTTCCAGTCTGAATGCACATCCTGCCTCAGATTCCCATGGCCCCCATTGTGGTGGTCGCGCCCTCCGCCACGTCCCCAGCCCCCTCCTCCGGCACACAGCGCGCGCGCACACACACACACACACAGAGCTCAGCACAGATGCGAAAAGCGGACGACTCAGCCAGCCAGCACGTGCCTGGGAGAGCACTCAGAACCCGCGTGCACACATCGCCCTTTGTAATGCAACTCGCACTGAGGTTTTATTTGCCGTGTTTCTCGTCCGAAGGCAACATCCTCACACATGCAGAGGTCGTCCGACGCGTGGCGGCCAACCCGAGTCCCTGCCACGTCTTTGTGCATAGGAAAGCTTGGGGTTTTGTTTTTACAATGAAGAAAAGCACTTGGGGACATCCACCATGCCACAGAACCCCCCACGAGCTTGTGTTCAAAAGAGGGGTTCTTCTCCGTGACTTGCCAGCCATTTGTCTAGAAGTTCTTGCAGGGTTAAAGTGCTTCTCTTTCTTGTCCGCCTTCCGTTCAGAATTCCTAGAGTTTGTGGATTCCTAAGGCAAGAATGCTGGGGTTTCCCCACGCATACAGAACTCGAGTTCTTACTCCGTCATGATTCAAGTGTCTGGGAAGGGGCTGTGAAGGAAAGGCTAGGAAAATATAGACTGTGTTTATCTTATGGACAGACATCCACCTCCCCTTCCGCCCTTGTCCGAGCCGTGCACAGCATCCAGGGCGGAGGGGTGATTGACAACAATAAAAAGTCTCTTCTTTTATACAATATGTCACTTTTATGAGTCCCCAACTGTAAGGCCAGGTGGCATGGGATGATGACCAAGTTCAGATCCTGGGGTAGACAGTGGTGTTGCCATGGGATTATCGAAGGGCTGGCTGTGGAAGAGATGTTGAGTACAGGTGCTGCCGTCAAGAGGCCCAATTCCAACACCCACCCACCCTTAAAAAAAAAAAAAAAAAACCCTCAAGTTTCACTTTCCACATGGCGGCCCCTGGCTTTCTGCCCCAACCTCTTTCACCCTCTCCCCCTTGTCAGGAGCCAACCCACACAGGTGGAAGAAGATTCTAGAAGGGAAGTGGGGTGGGGTGGGGTTAAGGGAGACACTGAGTGGGGGTAGATTGAGCCTGTGTGCACATGCTGGGTTTGTGTGTGGCTCCAGGTTTTCAGTGCCTTGGGCTGTCTGCAAATGCAATGGGTGGTCCATGCCCACCACCTGGCTGAGCCCCTCTGAGACACAGAGGCTCCCTCCTATGCCACCAGAAGGCTGCATTCAGTCAGGGGGAAAGGCACTTTCCAAGCTACCACATGAAGCTCCCCGTCACCATAGCAACAGGGCTGCATCTTCAGCGCCATAACTATGCCCAGGACCCAGGGTCATCCACCAATGCGGAACTGCAAAGAGCTCAGTCTCTGAGGGCAGGAACCCCAGACTTCCTTCTGTTACCATCCCTGCTCCTTTGTCATTCCCCCTGACACAGGCTTGCTCCTGCAGATGCAACAAGGAAAACTCATCTGTCGGAAGATGGCATGCTTTGCTCCATTTCCCTTGATTGCCCTTGTATCCTGGACAAGTTGGGGTGGTAGGGCCTGCTTCCCAGGGGTACCTCCCTACCCCCTAACCCCAGAGCAGACAACAGCAGTTCTGTGGGGGCCATGCCAGGTACACACATAGACCAAAGGCCAGCGGGCAAACTTCTGTGTAAGGTGTGTGGGGGAGAGAGAAAGCTGATGGGGATTATATATATACAGAAATTTGCATCTGTATGACTCTCATTTGAAGACTCCCAAGGCAAGAGGCTGGGGTAGGGGCAAGTGACCTGATGGCCCTCAGATAAAATTAAGGCATATTAAGCTAGTTCCAAAGGAGACATTTCTCCCAAAGGGGTCTCTGGGCAAATACAAGAACACTAAGCCCTGAAAGAGCTCGCCAAGTTTTGAAAGAGGAGAAATCAGGAAGCCACCTGCCTCGGCTCTCTACAAAAGTCCCAGAGCATCGAGGGGGCGTGAACTTCATGGCACAGAGCATGAACAGGAGGCGAGGTTGGGAGGAAGCCGTGCATGAAGACGGCCACTCGTGACCCTCCACCACCATGGTCTGGAGGGGACGAGGATACAAAAGATAAAAGGAGGTAAGATACAAAGGACCCCCAGCAACTGCCCTGGTCTATTTCTAGGGGTAGATCTGACACGTGCGGTTACACCTGTGCTTCAAGGGACAAGGAGAATCAAGTATTCCCTAAATGGCAGGGCTCAACTCCCAAATACAGAGGCCTGGGTCTTCCGGAAGCAGAAGAGAACGAGGTCCAGCTCCCGCCCATCAGTGGCCAAAGCTCAGCCAATGGGACTCAAGGCAAGGTGGGGGAGGAGAAGGGGAGAAGAGAGAGCCTAAAACTGCTGTCCTTGGTGCTGAACACCAGCGCCTCACTGCGGGACAAGAGATTGGAGGAACTTATAGGATCGCTACCCACCCCCACCCAAGACAAGAAGGCAGAAACGGGAGAGAAGGATGGGACATGGGGTCAGGAAGGAGATGAGATCAGAGACACACAAAGAGGAGAGAGACAGGTGTGACGCCCTCTGAGAATAATGGATCTACCAAGACACACATTCACCTCTTGGGAAGTCAGCAAGGTGGGACTGCTTGGGCCCCCCTGCTTTCCTAGCTAAGTCTGTGTTAGCCACGTTTTCTCTTGGGGTCTCAGTTCAGGGCTCCTCGGCAAAAAACGGGCTTCCCTGAACTGTCAGGGCATTGGACGGCTGGGTGACTCCTGACAAGGTTGGCACGAGGTTTGTGGCAATTCCAGGGGCTGATCAAGTACAGCCCAGGAGGCCTGTGGCAGCTCCGGGCTCCAGAAGGTGAGGAGGCTGTGGTTGAGGCTATATCAGAGAAGAAGAAGGGGTCTGGAGAACTCAAGGGGTCTTGAGGAGGGGGTGAGGTCCCCAGAAAAGATTATATAGCAGCAGAGAAGAAACCAAGTCACTTGCATCCAATGCTTCTCCCTGTATTCCAGGACTGCAGGTGGTGAGGTTCAAGGTGGCATGGAGTGGGGGGGAGTGGGTATTCTGTCCAGAACAGGGATCTCGGCAACATGCCCCCTTGGACCAAGAAAATCACTTGGCCAGGCAGAGTTGGGGCTGGGGAGGCACATGCGTGAGATGTGAATAAACAGAAGTGCTCCTCACCTATGCTTTCATCCCAAGCCACCTGCCATGGCTCGGGGCCAGGCAGCCTAGGCTGTGTCCAGCCAAAGCCCAAAGAGGAAGGTCCCGAGGGCAGGTGTGATGTCTCAGAGGCAGTCTCCCCACCCCCAAGCCCCCTGCTGGGATGCAGCTTGTGGTACATCCTTGAGGCCTGAAGCAGCCAGGGAGGGATCAGCCGAAAAGAAACCAGTGAAATCTATACCAACCAGGACTGCCCCTGCCCCACCATGAGCCACATCTTCAAACACTGGGCCAGGGCACAAGAGACCCAGAGGAGTCTGTCTCGTGGAAGCCTGTTGGCACACCAGCTAGCTCCCCACGGAAGAACACACACATCGCGCTATCAAGGACCACAGCCTCCATTATTGCTGCTTCGCCTTCGACAGCAAAGGAACGTGACTTTGCCAGTGATTTGAGTCCAGCTCCGCACGCACACTCCCATGCCAGAGGGAGAGGCGTGCTGGGAAAGAAATCCGGGAAGGAGGGAAGGAAGGAAGGACAGTGGAGTTGCTGGTTCCTTGAAGGGAAGGAGCTGGTCAGACAGCGATACACACGCCCAGCCCAGAGGCTGGAGGAGCTTTCATGATTCAGGTGGGGTTTGTTTCATTTTGTTTTTCCGAACCGAGGGAGATGATGCAGCCCCACACGGGTATCCCTGATGGCGTCCAAAGTGAGCAGAGAGGCAAGTGTTCCCATCGGGAATGAGGGCACCAACCCATCCTGGGCTGGACCACCCAACTTCACCGCTCCCGTGCCCTGGGTAGAAGTGCAGTGTAGGGCAAAGAAGCAGGTACTCGTGGAGGCTGGGCCATCCCGTCCAGACCCAGGGCAACCCCGCCAGGCACATGAACATGGTGCAGAAGGGGGCCAGCGACAGCTGGGCCTCGGGCAGCGGCGGCTTTGGACACTTTAAGGCCTCTGTTGGTCACACATGGCGCTGGCTTCTGTCTGTAGGGGAAGGGACAGGGCTCAGGTCAGATATGGGCTTGTCTGCTCCCACCCAGTCCACCTGCAGCCCCTCCGACCCCTTCACTCTGTTTCCCAAGAAAGCCAGCTCCGACACAAGGATCAGAACGAGGGGCAGGGGAAGGGAGAGGTGGGCAGCAGGTTCAGGACAGGTCAGGGTCCCCATCTCCATTGATGTCTCAGTTTCCCCAAGGGCCTGCTGGGGACAGAAGACAGTCCCCACCAGAGCTGGACCACGACCTCAGCCAGGGACCATGCATCCATGACGATCCCTTTGGCTCATCTGAGTCCATTATACATAGAAAATGCATATGGTCCCTGAAGTATAACGGTTCAACTCAACCATGTGTTGAGTTTGCGCTGGGACCAGAAGTATAAGTCAGGCAGTAAGGGAACACAGATCGGATCGAATCTTTCCCTGGGCTGGTGATAAGCAGTTGGGTCCCCTCTTTCAGAAAGTGGGGCATGTGACTGTGGTATAATTTCTGGTCGGCTCCACAGTCACTAGGGGAGCAGCCCCCACCCTCTGGGGCATTGCGGGGGGCCAGATGGCAGCTGGGTTATCTTCAAGGCCTTTGATACTTCAGACACACCCAACATGCGATGGGCTGAGGGGAGCCCACCATCCGCTAAGCAGCGTCTGCACAAGCACCTGTCTACACGTGTGGACATGCCAGTGGCCACGTGTCACACACGTGGCTATGCCGTGACGCCCCCACCAGCAAGCACACCAGAGACACGCAGGGGAACAGGAGGGTTTACCTTTAGCAGGGAAAACAGAATCTAGAAAATGCTACGGCCATTCAGGCTGAGTGCTGTCACTCTGTTTTCTGAGTTTTTTGGAGTGTGGGTTTACAGATAAGAGGTGCTCCTGATAGGGGTCCCCTGGGTGGATAACACCAAGGCTGACCGCCCCCCCCCCCATGCCTTGCACTGTGTCACCTTGGGCTGGCTCCACCCCAGCAGCGTGGATGCCCATAACCTATCTTATACACTGCTGAGCTGTTTGGGACCAAGCCAGATTATTTAAAGTATTTATTTTTTTTAAAAAATGGATCTATTTGAAAGGCAGAAGAGAAGAGACAGAGAGAGAGAGAGATCTACCCACTGGTTCACTCCCCAAATGGCTGCACTGGCCAGGGCTGGGCTAGACCAAAGCCAGCGGCCCAAGCCCCTGGGCCATCCTCCGCTGCTTTCCCAAGCACATCAGCAGGGAGCTGGATGTGAAGTGGAGCGGCCAGGATGTAAATCGGTGCCTGTAGCACAAGGCTGGCCCCCATGGTGGGATGTGTGATTACATTGGTTCTCCCCATCCATGGCTCTACACTCATGGGTTCAACTGTTCTTGGATAAAAAATACTTAGAGCAAAGAATGAGAATCCACACAGACCTCTTTTCGGCCTTTATTCTCTGGATAATACGGGAGAATGATGACTTACAAGAAGCTGCCAAGTGGCCTGGAAATGACTTCGAGCGTATACGAAAGGGCTATGGAGGTCATGTACAAACGCTGCCCTGTGTGACAAGGGGGGCTTGGCTGCCCTTGACTGTTGCTATCTGTGTGGAAGGGTCAGGGGCGTGGAGCTAATCCCCTGTGGTATTAGGGGGTGACTACTTTCCAAATAAAAAAATTTTTTTTGAGAGTGAGGGAGCGGAGGGGAGAAAGGAGGTGGGATGAGAGAGATCTTCCAGCAGCTAGTTCTCTCCCCAAAGCCTGGGCCAAGATGCAATCAGGCTCTTGCAACTCCATCTGAGCCTCCCCCTCTGGGGGCAGGGACTCAAGGACTTGAGCCACCCCCTGCTGCATGCCATGGTGCACGGTTGGAAAGAGCTGGGACAAACTCAGGGTGCAACACTGACCCGAGCGGCACCTTACTGGTCCGAGCGCCCGCCCCACTCTGTCATTTTAGGAAAGAGGCCTGCAAAGCAAGTAGGCAGCAGGCGCAGGCAGGTGCACAGGGCCAGGGCCCAGGGTATCTGGTCTTCCCCCCACCCAACTCCAGGGTGCCCAGTTCTCTGCCAATGAAAACAAATGGTCACCACCCCGCTACAGTGGAACTCGGGCACTCTCCCATCCCCGTGCCCCCTGCCTTCTGCCTTGGCACAGCCTCCTCCTTCTGCAGGCCCAGCATCCCAGTTCATCCAGCCTAGGCTCCCCACTCCCGGCTGGCAGGGTCCTCCCTCCCAGGTGTTCCCAGCCACACCTTCCTCGTACCTGGTCAAGCTTGGTTCTCATACAGGCTCTGCCTCTTCCTGGATTTCAGCTCCTTTAGCCACTGGGGAGAGGGCTCCACTGACCTAAGAGACACAGAGCATTAAATCGGGAACATTAAATGTGGCTTTTTTTCCCTCATTCAGCCAGAACATGTCCTTTGCTGCACCTGCCTGGGGTCTCCCAAGTGCCCCCAGACCTGCCCTGGGTGGGCAGGAGGAAGTGTGCCTCACTTTCCCCATCTGTGCAGGCACAGCTAGCTTATAAAAGCCCTTATCCAGTAACAGAGCCTGGTTTTCCATGCAGGAGGGCAAGGGGGAGCCCACCAGCCCCACCCCAGGCCTCCTCCCCACTTCTTAGACTGCAAGGGGCAGCCACAGGCATGGGGCTGATAACTGGGTTTGTGGGAAGCTGGATGCCTCCACCGTCTGCCTGGGCACGGAGCCCCTAAGGACCCATCCCTGAGGCCACTCACCTGTCCTCCTGCTCCACGCTGGGTGGCAGCACCCGACTGCCCAGCACCCCAGGCTGGAAGGGGGATTTGGAGGTCTTGGGCTGGGGGGCCCAGCTGGGGGTCTCACCAGGACCGTCTGACACCTCTGGCCTCTTGTGTAGCTGAGCCTGGGTCGGGGGGAAAAGAGAGAAGGGTCTGCAAGGGCCCCTCGTGCAGGGGAGGGCGACATCCGGTGATGCTGGCAGGCCTGAGGAAGGCTCAACAGCAGCGGGCACGGGGCCGAGAAAGAGCAGAGGCCATGCTGGCCTTCGCAGCTCCTGATCCCCCGGCCCCATAGAATCGTCTCCTCCTTCGCTGAGAAGTCACTGGACATGCGTTCCCAGTGAGGCGAACTGCTCTAGGAGCCAGTGGTGGCTGTGGGCATTCATGTCCTCCACATCATCACCATCATCAGCTGGCTGAGTAAGCCCCCTGGGGACTCCCTTCCTCCTAGGGTGCACGGCACTCAGCAGTCCATTCCACAAGCACGGGTTCTACAGGGAGCTAGTGGCCGCCTTATCTCACTCTACGGAGGGGCAGCCTGAAGCTCAATGGGGAAGCGCTCTGCCCAGAGTCACGGGGCCATGGGGTTGGCCGCTGGCATCTCTTAGGCCTGGGAGGACACGCAGGGCTGAGACGCCGCACAAAAGAGCCTTCACTTCTCCTTCAGTTAAACAGGAGACAATGAGGACCTCGGGAGGGCGGCGGGGGACCACATGGTGACCACAGGTGCACGGTGCCTGGCGCGGAAGCCCCTCCCTTATCTGCATTCAGGCCCGTTCCATTCCAGGTCTACTGGAAAGACCCTTCCACGAGGGTCCTGTAATCTGGTCAGGTGTGACTCTGCTGGTGTGCTGAGGTCCCCAAGCCATTGACATTGAAACCATCACTCCCTGTGCCCACTTTCTTAGCAGCCTTGGGAGGCCCAAGGTTGGGGGGGTCCCCCTCCTGTTCCCCACCCCGGGAAGGATTAGCCCCATTCCACACGCAGACCCATGGCGGCTCAGCTATGCAACCCAGCACAGCTATAGGCTCGCGATCTGAGGACAGGCAGGAAATCCACAGCACCGTCCCTAGGCCCCTGCCCTGCTCCCCACCCCATGCGAGACTGGAAGGAGAGATTGTCATGGGGGGAGGGCGGTGGCAGAGCGGGGTGATGGGCACGACTTCCCTTGAGTCCTCCACAAGAATGGAGGGAAGGGCAAGGACAAGAAATGGATGGGAAGATGGATGAGAGGCAGGAAAGCGGGGAGGGACGGAGGGAGAGGTGGGGGAGCAGCCCCAGGGGCAGGTGGGTGGCTTGGTACCTTCAGCACGGCCGGATCCATCCCTGGGAAGACGGGCATCCTCTGAGGACGGCTGACGGGTGTCCTCTCAGCCCTGGGTGCCTTCTCCTCATCATCAGATTCCTCCTCCCTCCTGGGCGATTTCTCTTCTGTCAGACAGACAAGGGTACCGGTATCACGGGCCACTGCTGTGGAGGGCGGTGCTGCTGTGTGCCAGGTGCTTGGCACACAGCCCTTCCTGTACTCTCTGCCACAAGCCCAGTGTGACAACACCGCTGGCCCCAGTTGACACAAGGGGAGACCCGCAGGCGCCTGTGGCTGTCACAGTCTCTCTTCATCACGGCTCTGCCTCTGGCCAGAAGACACTGACCATGGGCAGGTAGTAGGGTGGGTGGGTGGGTGGGTGGGTGGGTGGGTGGGTGTGTGTGTGTGTGTGTGTGTGTGTGTGTGTGTGTGTGTGTGTGTGTGTGTGTGTGTGTGTGTGTCTGGGGACTCTCCTGGCAGGTAGTAGGGTGTGTGTGTGTGTGTGTGTGTGTGTGTGTGTGTGTGTCTGGGGACTCTCCTGGCAGGTAGTAGGGTGTGTGTGTGTGTGTGTGTGTGTGTGTGTGTGTGTGTGTGTGTGTGTGTGTGTGTGTCTGGGGACTCTCCTGGCAGGTAGTAGGGTGTGTGTGTGTGTGTGTGTGTGTGTGTGTGTGTGTGTGTCTGGGGACTCTCCTGGCAGGTAGTAGGGTGTGTGTGTGTGTGTGTGTGTGTGTGTGTGTGTGTGTGTGTGTGTGTCTGGGGACTCTCCTGGCAGAGGGCCCAGACAGACCCACCTGCTGGATCCCTGGCCCATTCCAACTCAGGGACACAGAAGGGAATACTGGGCGTGGACAGACATGCGCCCAGCTCACAGAGCAAAGAGTGGGATTCTTGGTAAGCCTCATAGCAGAGCCACCAAGCAGGGGACTCCAGGCAGCGGGCTTCCAGGGGCCAGGCGTGAAGAAATGCACTGTCCCTGAGATGTGGACACTGGCATGGATAGGCACGGTTAGGAGTGGGCAAAGGGGCCCGAGCCAAGCAAGGCAAGGCCTGATCCTCGGGCTCCCTCAGGTTCAGCAGGGAGCTGGGCATTGCGTAGCCATCGCTCCGGGCTCCGGGTGGCTCATGGCAGCTACAGGGAGCCAGAAGGGCTGTGCTGTGTCCCGTGGGGTAGGAGCAGGGGGTGGAGGGATTCGTGCGCCTTTGTCCCTGCACGATCTTCACTTGCTCCAAGGGGCGGCTGGGAGGAGCTTGGTTCAGAGAACCGAGAAAGCATGCAGAGAAAGATGCCACTCAGACCACTCGGCACGGGGAGTGAAAACCCTCCGACCACTTGTTCGAGGTCCCTGGCAGGAAGCGAGGCCCCTCGCCCTCAGCTTGGAGCTGGGTCAGCAGGGTCAGATTCCCCCACATGAACCACAAAGCACTTCCAGAAGCTGTGGAGGACTAGAGGCTGTGTGTGTAGGCCTGCTTGTGGCCTGGGAAGGCAGTTAAGGACGGCCCAAAGCCTTGGGACTCTACACCTGTGTGGGAGACCCAGAAGAAGCTCCTGGTTCCTAGCTTCAGATCAGCTTGGCTCTGGCCATTGAGGCCACTTGGGGAGTAAGTCAACGGACAGAAGATCTTCCTCTCTGTCTCCCCTCCTCTCTATGTATCTGACTTTCCAATAAATCTTTAAAAAATAATAATAATCGGGTCAGGGGGGAAGGCTGCTAATAAATGAAGTGATCTTTCAACCCACAAGTCTAAAAAAAAAGAACAGCAAGAAAAACCTAAACAAAAAACTGAACACACATGAAGGCAGACGGCAGAACCCTACTCAGTTCTGTCTCTTGCAACGCTATGAGTGCCCATGAATACATTCCCTTACAAAAGGATTTTTACCCAACTTCTGATGAACTCTGCAGAGCAAGAAACCAGGTTCCTACATGACTGTTCTGTTCCAAAGCCATCAATAATCCACATTGGGGAGCCCTTCCTGGGGTTCCCGCTGCTGCAGGGGGCTGTCTGAAGAGGGGACAGGCACAGCCATACCCGTCGAGTCCTTGAACATCCACACGTTGTCCGTTTCCTCCTCCAGAGGGGAGCAGCTCTCCGACTGGCTGAACTGGCTGCGCCGCAAGTTGTGGGAGAGGGGTGCCCGGCGGTGGCATCTCTTGCTGAGCTGCACCCGGGTCTTGAGGGCACTTGAGTCAAGGATGGAGGTTTGCTGTAGGGGGTGGCAGGGAGAAGAAGGTGGCCCAGGGAGGAACTGATCAGGTGAGGGACTCCCCACAGGTGGGAGTGGCCAGCTTGCCCACCCCATAGCAGTCAGCCCAATACGATCCTGATCTTTCATTTCCCCTAGAAACATGGGGCCCGGGACTATTGTGGCGTAGTAAGTTAAGCCTCTGCCTGTGGCGCTGGCAACCGCCAGGTGCACGGTGGAAACGCTGCACCCCTCCCGGTGTCAGGCAAGCCTGTGGGCTAGGCTAACGCTCCGGTGTGCAACAGGAAGTCCGTCCATGCTTGCTGGCGTGCTACCCGGGACAGAGGCAAGAGGAGGCTCCGGGAAGTTCTCCATGATCACACCCTCAGCCTCCCCCGAAACAGGTGCGCTCGGTCTGGCCGTGGCCACGTGCTCTTCCCGGGAGACGCGGGTGAAGCTTGGCCAAGGCCAGGGTCCACCTGCCCCATTCAAGCCCCCGCCCGCTGTGTGTCCTTGGGCCATGAATACTACCTCTCCGAGCCCGGCCTGTGCCCATTTGTAAAACGGGAAGCAGCCCCTTCCCCTTCCCAGGTGGGTAGGAGAAACCCTCACCGCACGACCTCAGGTGGCACCAGGCTCGGCCGAGAGCCTCCCTCTGCCTCCCAGCTCTGCTTTGCAGAAATCCACCCCCGGGGGCTTCCTCCCTAAAGGTGGTTAAGTGACAGACAGCCCCTGCCATGGCAGAGCAAGTGCCAAAATTTGCACAGTGGCTGAGTTCTCCTGGGAGAAGAGGAAGGAGGAGGTTCCTCCTCAGACCAGGTGCAATGGAGAGGAGCAGGTGCTTGCAGACGAGCCACTCCTGGGAGACAGAGGAGTGACACACCCGCAGGCGACGACACCAGGAACCATCACCATCTCCCAGGCACACGCCTCGCCACTCACACTGATGAAGGCGAAGTGGTCGGTTCCCCTCGCAGGTCCGGCGTCAGGGGTGGGTGGCCCCTCGGTGCCGTCAGTGGAGTCCAGGTCGGCACTGGAGCGGTCCCCGCCGGTGCTGCGCTGCTCCGTGCTGGGTTCCTGCTGGCCAGTGCTCAAGGTGGCCTCCGTCTGGGAAGACGACGAGGAAGACAAGCGTCCGCCGGGGGACGGCTTCCACGTCGTGGTCGTGGCGCCACTGTCAGGGGATGGGGACTCCGGGGCCAAGCTGAAGGAGAGACAGGGACAAGGGCCGGGGCTGAGGGGTTGATGCCGAGAAGGGAGCTGCAAGTACAGGGGCGGCGGGACACAGACCCCAACTCCCCACCACCACCACCTTTCTTCATATCCCAGCAGCAAGCAGTGGACGGAACACACACTCCCACCCCAGCCTCTGGGGGAATCGTGCCATGAGGTCAAAGAGCACCTGGGCAGGTGCCGGGTGTAGGTCAGCGTTGCGCCACTCTAGACGCTCCAACAGGGGATACTGGACCTGTGTGCTTGGGCCACCACCTGCTGCCTTCCCAGGTGCACCAACAGGGAGCTGGATGGAAAGTGGAGCAGCCGGGACTCGAACCAGCGCCCCATGGGATGCCAGAGTTGCAGGTAATGGCTTTACCCCCTATGCCACAGTGCCGGGCTGTGACTAGACCCTCAGCATGTGCTGACAGTTGACACGTCCTGTGAGTAGAAAGTGCTCGCTGGGTGTTTTGAATGCAAAATGGAAATGTGACCCGTCTCCTTAATAACTCCTCCTGCTATCAGTAATGGGAAACGATCATCTTCCAGACCTGTCGGCGTTGATAAAATCAGTGAAAAATTAATTTTATTGGGGCCAGCATGATGGCTCAATTGGCTAATCCTCCACCTTCAAGCACCAGCATCCCATATGGGGGCCAGTCCGTGTCCCGGCTGCTCAGCTTCCCATCCAGCTCCCTGCTGTGGCCCTGGGAAAGCAGTTGAGGACAGCCCAAAGCCTTGGGACCCTGCACCCACACGGGAGACCCAGAGGAAGCTGCTGGCTTCAGATCAACTCAATTCTGGCCACTACAGCCATTTGGGGAGTCAACCAGTGGATGGAAGCTCTTTCTGCCTGAATCCTTCTCTCTGTCAGTCTGCTACTCTAATAATAATAATAATAATAATAATAATAATAATAATAATAAAAACTTTGAATTTTTAATTTAATCTATCTTTGTTTTAATGTAGCTACCGGGACATCTTATTTTATAATTTTATTAATTTGAGAGCTTAAGGGGGATGGAAAGACAGCCAGCATCTGTTGGTTTGCTCTCCCCAAATGCTTGGAATAGCCAGGGATGGACTACATTAAAGCTAGGAGCCTGGCACCCAACTCAGGTCTCCCATTAGGGTGGCAGGGACCCAGCTCCCCGAGTCATCCCCACTGACTCACAGGGTATACACTGGCAGAATCAGCAGAGTCGGGATTCCAACCCAGGCCTGGGTGGTTTTAATCCACAAAGAATGAGGGAAGTACCGCAGAGGGGGCAGCAGATGGCGCCATTGTCCAAGGGAATCATTGTGAGGGCCAACAGGCGGCAGTGCCTCCTGACAGACAGCAGAGGGTTCCCGCCCCCACAGGTCCTGATGCGAGTCCCTGGGTGTTACTGGATCACTCCACTCCTGAGACCAGGGCCTCCATCCCTTCCAGATTTCCACCTCCCCATCTTCCAAGCACCCACGGCTCTGGGCCGTAACCCGGGTGCAGCCACTCCAGAAAGTACTCCATGTCGCTGCTCGCCCCGCCCCCATCCCGTTAAATGTCCCTTTCGGGTTGGGCTGACTTCTGAGGGTCCCCGAGGTCACAACAGCGGAGGCAAAAGTGTACAAAGCAACATGTAAAATTAACCCCATGGGAAACACTTTATTTAAAAAGTGGGGCTGGATGCTGGTGTTGTGGCATAGCACGTAAAACTTCCACCTGTCGTGTGTGTGTGTGTATATTCAGGTCCCAGTTGCTCCACTTCTGATCCAGCTCCCTGCTAATAATGTGCCTGGGGAAGTGGTAAGAGCAATGGGCTCCTGCTGCTCACACATGGGACACCTGGAAGAAGCTCCTGGCTCCTGGCTTCAGCCTGGCCCGGCCCTGGCCACTACAGGCATACAGGGGAGCGAACCAGCGGATAGAACATGAGACTAACATAAATTAGTCTCTCTCTCTCTCTCTCTCTCTTTTTTTTTTTTTTTGTAAATTAGTCTTTTTCAGATTTACAGAGAGAAGGACAGATTGAGATAGAAAGGTTTCCATTTGTTAGTTCACTCTTCAAATGGCTACAACAGCTGGAGCGGAGTTGACCCAAAGCTGGGAGCCAGGATCTTCTTCCGCGTCTCCCCAGAAGCGGGCAGCAGGGGCTCACGCCCTTGGAGCATCTCCCGTTGCTCTCCTAGGCCGTAAGCAGAGAGCTGTACTAGAAGTGGAGCAGCCAGGACGTCTGTCTTGTGGGAATGAACTAGTGGATGGAAGATCCCTTTTTCTCTCCATCTGCCAGTTTTTCAAATGAAATAAATGTCTTCGATGCTTAAAAAAAAAAAACTACGCATGAATTAAAAAAAATTCTGCATCAAAAACAAACACAAAAAAAAAAACCCTTCTCTTTCAATTGCACCTTCCATGAACTTCTAGAAGCGCCCTTGGGGTCACTGCATATGGGAACACACAGCTATACTGAACAGCGACTAGAAGGACACAGGACAAGCGACATGAGAGGCAGCGATGCTGTGCGTGGGAGTAGAGGTGGGGGCACTTTTATGAAAATCTTCATGATTTTCCCATGTTGCTAAAACATGTACACAGGACACACAGCTCTCCAGGAGCGATATTTCAGGCACTCAAGTTTATCTGCAGCCCTTACCACCGCATTGTTCTAGAACATTCTCACATCCCCAATGTACCCCTTCAGCAGTCCCTCCCTGTACCCTTATCCCCACTCCTCACCTGCAAGGATGTTTACTGTGACCGCTGCGGACGCCATGGGGCCCTTGGTAAGTTTCTGATGAAACAGAAATTGCATGGCCTACCTGTCCCGGCACTGGCGCTGGTCCGTCCACGTCCCATACTGGCTGTCAGCCTCCCGCACGAGGGTGTCTGTGTCCTTGGCCTCGCCGGTCCTCCTGGAGAAGCACTGCTTCAGCTGGTCCTGCAGGGGGAGACATGAACAAGGGGGCGGCGCTCAGGAGAGATGCCAGGATGCCACGGCCGGCGGGCAAGGTCACAGCTCATTCCTGCCACTCCCTGCCACCCTCCTAGGTGAGCCCAGGCAGCACCTGTCCTGGCCTGTCCCAGACGTCTCAGGGTGCAGGGCAAACCAGGGGGAATTAGGGGAAGTGGTTTCTTTCCCCTTGCCCTCCCACTCCAGGATGGCCCGGCCAAACAGCTCTCCTTCGTCAAAACCCACCATGCATCTGTCAGCACGCGTTGCAGCCGCCCCCACGGGGCACTGAACTAGTAGCAGATGTCGTACTAAGCTGCCGACATGAGAGCGCCTCGCAGGTCACCTGCAGTCCTGCCCTATCCATCCTAGGAGGTACAACTTCCATACAGTCCCCTTCGACAGCCAAGACAGTGGAGGCTTACAGAGGGGGTGAGTTACAGGCTCAAGAACAGAAAAAGTGGCAGAGGGGTGGGGAGGAACTTGCAGGTGAAAGTCAGAGCAAGTTCTGCAGGGTCTTGTGTGTGTGTGTGTGTGTGTGTGTGTGTGTGTGTGTAGGGGAAGAAAGAAGCTGATCCCAGGGAAGGTGGTGTCTAAAGTTGGGGAGAACCCATCTATTCACCCCGCCCCCCCGCAAGGTCCAGGTTCAGGATCAGGATTCCTGAGGGCAGCACCCCTCACTCCTGGCAGCCTAACACCGTCTCCCTCCAGAACATTCCACCGGCCCGACAGTGGCCAGCTGGGTAAGGCCCATGCTGGAGTAAACAGACTACTGTTAGGTACTTGGTTCAAATGAGCCTTAACATGTGTCCCCACATTTAAATGGTGCATAGCCTATAGCCTTGGCTAAGCAAGTTTAATGTTTTAAAGAGATTTGTTTATTTGAAAAAACAAGTGTTACGGAGGGAGAGGGAGAGAAAGAGGGTTCTTCCAGCTGCTGGTTCATTCCCTGAACGCCTTAATCTGCCAGGATGGAACCAGGTCAAAGCGAGGAGCCAGGAACTCCACACAGGTCTCCCACATGGGTGGCAAGAGTCCACGCCCTTAGGGGCATCGCCTGCCACCTTCCAGACCCACTGGCAGGGAGCTGGATCAGAAGTATGGAGTCGGTGGGACTTGAACCAGCAGTGACATGGCCTGTGGATGTCCCAAACTGAGGTTTAACCCAGTGTTCCTCAAGGTCCCCCTCCACCACAAAAGCAAGTTAAATCAGTTGACTGTGCAGCCTGAAGCCCTGGAAACATCTTCTAGAAAGGACCAGATAAACTGGGACTTTCCAAGACCACAGATCCATCTATAAACACCTGTGTTTCAACAAAACTTCATTTCCAAAATAGGCAGCTGGCCAAATTTGGCCTCTGGGGAGCAGTGCACCGACCTGCTGCACGAAGATGCTGGGGTAGAGATTATGCCTCTAGGAGTTGTGGAATAAACAGCTGTGGGGTTTTTTCCTTCCTATTTTCTTTTTTTTTTTCCAGTGGGTAGGGGTGAATTTCTTAGTCAAAAAAGACAGTAAGAGGAAGATCCTTCAGGACATGTGCAGAAAATGAGTATTAGCAAGAAAAAAAAATGCTACACTACAGAAAAAAAATATGCTTGGAATTCAGGGCTTCTGTACCAAAATAAATGCTCAACTTAATGTTTCCACTAACTTTTAAAAGTTATTTGAAAGGCAGAAGGACAGAGAAACAGAGAGAAGTGAGACTTCGTATCTGCCGGCTCACTTTCCAAATGCCTGCAGGAGTCAGAACCGGGCTGCGATAATGCTGCAAGCTGGGGACCCAACCCCGCATGGATGGCAGCAAGCGAGCTGCGTGTCCCAGCAAGCCAAGTCGGGACTCAAACCCAAACTCTCCAACGTGGTGTGCAGGCACCCCACTGGGCGTCTTCACCACTGCGCTGCCTGCCTGTCCCCAGATAAACCTCGTTTCTCTACCTCCACTTTCCCGTGAGCTATTGGCAGCGCCCCCAGATCGCTGGGAAGGGGGTGGGGAGAGGAATGTTGTGCCTGCATGTATTTTGGGGGTGTTTGGCACATGCTCCTATGAAAGCACCCTGAGTCAGTGCCGCGCAGGGCAGCCCAAGATGACAGAACGGATCTTAGCAATTCGAGAACTGAGACCCCCATCCCCACTCCCCAGCCCCCAGGCAACTCAGTCCTCGCAGCTGTGCCCAAGAGCCAGGTCTGAATAGGGGTGTGGGGGATGCCTGATCTTGATGTCCCCAAGGCCTTTATCAAGACCCCCCCCAGAAGCCCCAAATATTGGAACTGTCATGGACCCACTTTACAGGAGTGGAGACTGAGGCCCAGAAAGGTGCTCTGGCACACCCAAGTCATGAGGTGAGAAAATGGTGGGGCTGGGATTTGTCCCCAGATGTGCCCCATGCCCAAGTTTGTGCTCTCCAAAGGCATAAGAAGGAAGTAAGATAGGGAAGGGGCCAGGGCAAGCCCCCAGAGCTTGCTCCCACAGCTGCCCAGCACAAGCTCTCTCAGCAGGTCTTCCCTGTGACATGGGTCCATCTAGGGGAGGAGACAGGACCTCGGATGGGCTTCTGAGCAGGCCACAAAGTCAAGTTCACCTACAGCACAAGCCATGTCTCGCAACTGGCCCTGCTCAGTGGCAGGAATGGGAGTGGTACTGCTTCCCCGGGGACGCCGGTACATGGGTCACTGCCCTTTCTTAGAAGGCTCTAGGAATGGTGCCAAATGTGGTCAGGCATGGCCAGGCACAGTGAGGCACGGTCATGAGTGAGCAGATATGGCCAGGCATGGTCAGGCAACGCCAAGTGTGGTCAGGCACGGTCAGGCGTGGTCAGGTGTGGACAGGCATGGCCAGGCATGGTGAGGCATGCCCAAGGGTAGCCAGGCACAGCCAGGCGTGGTCAGGCGTGGCAGGCGAACGTGGATGCAGCGTGGCCACAGAGTGGTGCCTTGGGTAGGGGCATGGGACCAGGATTGAACAACGCGCAGAGATGGGCACAGAGAGAAATAGAGCAAGAGTGGCAGCAAGGTGCAGGTGTATACACGGGTCTCAGACACAGGCCTGCAAGTGGGCACTGTGGTTGAGCTGCTGCTTGAAACACCCCCATTACATACAGGAGTGCCTGGCACCTGTCTTGGCTGCTCTGCTTCTGATCCAGCTTCCTGCTAATACATCCTGGGAGGCAGCAGATGATGGCCCAGCAGGGCTGGATGGAATTCTGGGCTCCCGGCTTCAGCCCAGCCCAGCCCTGCCTATGATAGGCATCTGGGGAGTGAGTCCAAGGATGGGAAATGGTTCTTCCTTTATCTCTCATCCTATCTCTATCTCAAGGTGAAAAATAAATGCATGTTAAAAGAATAAGGAATAAAGGGCTTGACAGCCCGTCTGGCCTACGGGGTCATCCCCAGGGAACACACCTACTGTGTGCACCTGTCTGCACCAACCTTAGCTCTGGCACCACTTCACTGACGACCTGGCACTCCCTATGCTTCAGCATTCTCTCTCTGTCAGCCCGTGATGTGGGACAGGAGGTCTCAGTGTGTCTCTGCCTTGTGACAGCTGTCCCTGGATGCCTAGCTAATGTCCAGCACTTGCTAAGCCTCCTGAGGGAAGTACTGGTTTCCAGTGGGAAGGATGTAGGTCAGTCCCTGCTAAAGCAGCATCTATTCAGGTAGAAACGTAGACCACAAGCATTTAGAGAACAGGTGCACATTAAACCCCCACTCCCATCCCGCCCCCAGAAGGGCTCTACGAGGGACCAAACCAGTTCTGCCACTTCTTGTGACTCGAGCTTTCAACCTTCCCATCCGTGAAATGGGATGAGAAGGGTGCTGCTTGGGGTGAGTGTTGGGAAGACTCTGGGAAATGTCAGGTCAGCGCTGAGCAGATCCATCATGAGATAATGATGACATCCGCTGTCCCATTCCCCAAAACACACCACCGTGACAAACATGGGCATAACACCGCAGCCTTGTCATCCAGCTGAGGCCCAAATTGGTATCCCTTCTCAGGGCACCCAGCTCTGCAGGGTAGATAAGTCCACCCAGGGGGACCTGCAGGCTACAGAAGGATGGCTCAGGCATATCACACCATCTCTGTGGGTGTCACCCAAAGTCACACCCCTACAGCTGACTGCAGGAGGCATTCTGGTATTGGCTGGGCTGGGCTGGAGCTACTGCTGTCTCTGGCTGGCTCTCCCAACTGTGGGCAGCAGGGAGGTTGGGCAATGGAGTCTGAACAAGGGGGCTGCCAGGGGAAGCAGGCCTCTCTGAGGTGACATTCGAGCAGAGGCAGAGGTGTCATCCAGGAGGACACACCGGACGAGGCATCTGAAGAAGCAATGGCAAGCGCCAAGTCCTGGAGATGGGAGCTCCTGTGACAAGCATGCTACAGACGGTCTTTGACACTGGGTGCGTGGGTCACTCCCACCATCACACACTGAGCTCACAGGCACATCCCCCACTCCTCAACCTTGGGCTTCTTACTGGATGAAGCTCATCTAATGAATGCAGTGTGCTAACTAGACAGGGGTGGATATGGGCCACTGAGGGGACCCCAGAAGAGCTGAGGGGGCAGCAGACCAGGGTTCCCGTCACTCCCAGATGACTCCGTTTCTGAGCTCCCAAACAGGCTCCACTGCATCTTGGTCTTTATTCTTAAACAGTGATTGGGCACCAACTGTCTACATGCAAGACCCTTTCCTGGGTGCGCTTATGTGTGTGGTCTCCCAAGTAGAATTAAATCAGGGAACTTCAAATACCTTGGCTCCTCTTGGAAGGTGGAGGGAGGACACATCATCTGCTGTCCCCATTTTCCAGGAAAACAAAGGCCACTTTGCTTTGAACCAGGGCTATACGACTGGCCAACAGAGCCGGAGCCAAACCGAGGTAGCCCAGACTCAATGCTGCTTCCTAGAACCAACTCTCACGGAGACAAGGGCAGCAAACTTGACCCTGGAAGCTCACAGGGGTGCCAGGTGATTTGCACGATTAATACCATATCAGA